ATATATAAAATTGCCAAATTAATTTATATAAAATTAAGATATTAGAACAACTAACTAAAAAAACTATAGAAAATATTATTTAAAGTTGCGTGGAGAATTCTAATCCCATAAAGATTCCTTGAAAGAAAAGAAAATAACTCTGCTAGCATATTTCATCATTAAATTTTTGTTTCATGTGATATTAAATTAAGAGTTATTTTCTAATATGTGTTTCTAGTGATATTTTTTTATTATAAATATATATAAAAATAGAAAATTTTATATTAATTTTAATACCGTTATTTATTATTATTAAATAAATTTAATTAAATAATTAATAAATTAAAAGTCATATTTTTATTTTTAATATAAATTTATAAAAAAATTATATATTTATAATATATTCTTAACCTATATTATAAAAATACGGATTTAAAAATTCTTTAAACTAATTCTCTTTATTAATTTATGGAATTATTAATTTATTGAATATAATTAATTAATCAACGCTTAAATAGAATATTTTCACCAAAAAGAAACAAACGTTTAAATAGAACATTACTTCCTCGATTCCCACTTCGTTGTCACGGAGGTTTTCCGCATATAATTTTAAGTATGTTAAATCCGTAATTTGGTCCCTAACTTATTGTATGGACTCTCGATTGGTCCCTAAACTATTGTATGGACTCTCAATTTGGTCCTTATTATTTATCAATTTGCCCAAATTAGTCTTTTTGTACAAAAAAAAGCTGATGTGTCTAATATTTAATAGTGAAAAACAGTAATTTAACGACAAAAAATAGTAACTTAACGGTCACGTGTCATGTTAATAACAAAACACGTCAACAGTTTTTGTATAGAAGGACCAACTTATGACAAATTGGTAAATAGTAAGGATCAAATTGGGGATCCGTACAATAGTTTAGGGATTCAATTAAGAATTTTTTTAGTTTAAGAACTAAATTGAAGATCCGTACAATAGCTCAAAAACCAAATTAGGGATTTAACCTTTTAAGTAGTGATTTTTACAATTAAAAAATTTGTTTTACCAACTAAAATTACTCAATAAAAATTATATATAAAAAAAGATATTGATATGGGCAAATATTTTTTTGTTTTAATATATTTATTAAAAATTATTATTTTTTAATTTAAAATTAATTGAAGTAAAAAATTTAAAAATACATCAATGAATATAATATGATAGAATTTGTTAAATTACTTACATTTATATTATATTTTAATAACTAATTTAATGGAATATCAATATTGTGTTAAATTGAAAATTGTATAAATTATTTTTCATAAAAAATTCAATTATTAGAGGTTAAAAAGAATTCAATTATTATTTTTATGTATTGTATAAAAGTAGTGGTGTTCGAGTGATTAGGTCGGCTCAATTTTCATTATTTTGTTATCCAATCCAATTAAATCCAAAGGAATGAAATTCAATCCAATCATTTGATATAACCGAACTAATCCAATCCAGGTTGAATAGGATTAGTTAATGA